CACACACTTCACATTTTTATGTCCAAAAAACCTGCCGCATATTATATTCTATACCCCGCGTCTTGGCAATATAACTCCCCATTAAGCCAAGCTGCACATTTCACGTAATTGCAGGTCTCCACATGACGTTTATAAATACAATGAAACATATCCAGCATTTTCGAGTTTTGCAAGGACACGTATATGAACTTGAATTGGCGCAGTGTAGGACTTGCTAAAATAAGACTGTTTGTGGCAAAGTACATATAAAAAAATGGAGCGCGGATGGGCATAGCTAGTATTTGTTAAAATAAAATTGATTTTGGTAAATAACTGAACAGTATTATGAGTAATCATTGGAATGAAGAGAGGGTGGGTGGGCGGGGCTATTGCTTGCTTATAAAAGATTCTGTAATCAAAAATTAAACTTAACCCCGCACACCCGCCCGTTCACACATTTTTTACGATTAACGCTACTTTTTAACAGCGTACGTTCTATTTGGTCCCATTCTCACTTGAAAAAAGAACATATAATTCACCACGCCCACCCACCCCGCCACCATTTCAGTGATTCATTTTGTTTAGTCTGTAAGAAAGGTGAATCTCAACTGAAGAGAGATAAAATCGTTAGAATGAGAACAGCGTTTGCGCGGGACTAGTATCTGCTAAGATGAGATTGATTTTGGTAAATGACATATCCCCTAAGAAAATAAAGGGCGGCTGGGAGGGGCTAGTATTTACTAAGATGAGACTGATTATGGCAAACGACATATCCTCTAAAAAAATAGAGGGCGGGTGGGCGGGGCTAGTACTTGTTAAGATAGGATTGATTTTGGTAAATGACATATCCTCTAGGAAAAAAAAGGGTGGGTGGGCGGGGCTAAAACTTCCTAAAATAGTACTGAACAATAATAACAGTAGTCACTGGAACGTAACTGCTTGCTCATAAAAAAGGTAAATTTAGGCCCGCCCACCTCGTTTTTTCATTTCACTGACTTATTTTATTTAGTGGAAAAGGGAAATTGAAAAATAACAGTATTGTATTCCCAAAATTTTCTGGGAAAAAGGAGTGATTTAATCAATAACAAAAAAATTAATAATTCATTAATTTCTTTCACCCACCCGTTTAAGCAAATCTAAAAAATATGGATGCAATTATAAATCACAAGTAAAAGCTCATCATATTTTGCACATTTTGGGTAGAATTTATTCGGCAAAATTTTGACATAACGTCATCAATTTTTTGGGGGAAATAAACAGATATATTTTGATTAACAATTTACCATGCTTACAAAACGTCCGCAAGATTTCAAAGTATTCAGTTATGCAATTCTCGATTTATTCAGTAAAATAAAGTGACTGATTCATGTTTTTTTTTTAGACAACCTGTATAAGCAAATCCAAAAATCCCAAAAGTATGAATGGAATGATAAACCCTAATAAATTTTGATTACAAATTTATTATGCTTTTCATAACTTTAAAACATCTGCAAGGTTTCAAAGCATTCGGTTTTGCAGTTTCAAAATTAAGTTTCAAAATTTTGTTTTATAATCATGTTTTTTCCAAAAATCTGGACGTTTCGGGTGAAAACTCAACAGGGAGTGATAAATTAAATGTGTAGGACTATGTTATTTTATACAACTTAAAACCCATTTACTATGTGCAATTTTGAAGTGACGTATTACATTATTGGTGGGGATGATTCCACAAATTTTGGTTATTAATATAAATACAAAATTTTACAACAATCGGTCCAGTATTTTCGGAGATTATCTGTCTAATTAAAATCCGGGACGGTAGACACACAGACAGACGGCCAGACAGACAGACAGACGGAAACGGGAGACCTATTTCTTCGTACTCTAGGGGTCATGAAAAGTCGAGAAAACATGAAAGTAGAGAGTCCGCCGACGGACTCAATTACAATACTTCCTTCGCTTACGTTCGGGAAGTAAAAATGATACAATTTAACTCTGAGAATTTTATTTTTTTGTGGTGACCCATAATTTTCCATACAAAAATTTTTTCTATCACCCCATCAACATTTTAGTAAGGGCATAATATAACAATTTGAATGGATTATTATTACTGTAAAACTATTGATAACAGTACCGTATCCTCAAATTTTCGGAAAAATAGGATGGCTAATAAAACATATCGCCTCATTTATTTATTCATTTAAATATATATTCATTTATTTATTTATTTATTTATTTATTTATTTATTTATTTATTTATTTATTTATTTATTTATTTATTTATTTATTTTGAAAGGCTTTGTATAAACAGTTCTAAAATTTTTTAGAATTTTTTAGAATTAATATTTATTGATGTACTTATAAACCATAAGTATAAACTCTTAATATTATGTATGTATATGATTTATTCGGTAAAATTTAAGTGACGTGTTCAATGTTTTTGAGAGGGGATAACCTGATAAATTTTGATTAACAATTTACCATGCTTCTGATAACTTTAAAATTTTTGCACGATTTCAGAGTATTCGTTTTTGCAATTTCAAAGTTAAATTTTAAAACCTGGATGCCTAGGATAGAAATTCAACACGGATTCTTAAACTGCAAGCAGAGGAGTATCTTATTTTATCAAATTTAAAACACATTTACTACTGTAAAAGTCGCATCTATGTTGGTGGGGATGGTCAGACAATTTTTGGGTAGCGTTTTACCATCTACGTATATTCGTAATGAAGATACAAAATTTGCCAACAACTGGTTCGGTAGTTTAGAAGATTAACTGTCTAATAAAAGATAGACGGAAACCTATGTTTTCGTAGTCTAAGGATCCTGAAACATTGAGAAAACATAAAAGTAGCCAGTTGCCCGATAGACTCGATTACTATAGTTCCTTAGCTTACGCTCTGGAAGCAAAAAAAAAACATTCTTGATGATTTTACTCTATTGACAGGTATAACACAGACACCATATTTTTATGCCCAAAAAACCTGCCGCATATTGTATTCAGTCTTGGCAATACAGCCACCTGTTATGAAGTTTACAAATGAAAATCCATTTGGAAAATTAAAAAAAGTCAGCTTTTACCAGAAACCCTGTGTTCTGCTTTCGCCTCGCGATCTTGTACCCTTTTTGGATAAAGTACTTAGTTTAGAAAAACTATCTTTTTCGAATTTTAGAACGATAACTAAATGCGCCATTAGAATTACAAGAAATAAAGCAAGCAACATTTAATAACGTCAACTCTCTCAAGAATAAATTGAAGATAATGATTAAATCAAAATTAATTCATTATGGACACAACAAATCCCATATCACATAAAACAACGCACATTTGAAATAAACACAACAAGGCAGCTATTAAATATGGTCAATAATGACTAATAAGTGTTCCAGTTCAAACTGTGAGAAAATAATTCGGATGTAAGAAAATAACACATTAATAATACTTATAACAGAAAAAACACTTCATTAAATGCTATAAATGAACTATTATAGTATTATAAATCTCGAGTGAGAAGTTATGAAGTGTTGATAATGTAATAACTTACGTAAAAAGATGCAGAGCTTTTAAATACATCGTTATTTTAAAATAAGTTGAGCCTGAATGACCGAAATGTTCACCGACAATTTCTTTGTCGTTGTTAAATTGTATTAGAAATATGAACAGTTAAAAATCGTAACATGAACTGTGAAATTACAAACAAGAAAACAAAAATTACACGCGCTAAAGTTTTACACATTTCAGATTAAAAAATCTTTACCCTAATTGCACTTAATGAAGGGACACCGTGGCCTCGAAGGCGATTCATTTTTGTTTAAACAATTTTGTATTTTATGATGGGATCCGTCGTCAAGTCGTCGAGTGATGTTGGACTATGATTCATTGGTGTAACTTTGCAAAGTTGCTCGGATATACGAGGAAACCCTTGGGCAGATTAATTAAGTTCAAATTCCCTACACCAAAGTTTTAACCACAAAACTGTTACATTCCGTAAACTCCGAAGTACACCGGTTAATCGAGTTTTGAGTGAACAAGTGAACTTTGGATAGAGCAATTTTTATTATTATTATTAATTTCAGTGCCCTTCAGGCTAACGTTTCCTAGTTATGGGGCTAGGAGAAAAAACAATAAAAAAGTAAAATCAAGAAAATATAAGAAAAAAGACATTCAACCACTTGATTTTAAATTTTACGTTCCTTGTTGTTATCACAAGTACAAAATATTAGTGTAGCGACTGGGAATTCTCGATAACCGAAATGGTATTTTCCTTGGAATATAGCAGTAATCAACTAAATTCTTGACTGTTACGCACCATAAAGCGAAGACATTTATAAGTAGAAGGTAGAATGTTTACAGTATGATACAAGACCGACAATTTACAAACTTTTATCGCTCTTTTTAAAGACTAGACAAATCGCAGATATTTTAAGAATATTCTAATAAATTCCAGTTCATGACATCAAGTTAAACAACCGAAAGAGGTTTCCTAAAAATGATAGCACTATCTCTGATTAAAAACATCGGTATTGACTTAGAGCCTGCAATCATCGATAATAATTTTAGATGTTTGAAAGCGTCGATACCATTTTTTCTTTAATCTTAGGAATGTTTAAGGAATAATTGCATGATGTTTTAGTTGTATTTTAGTTTACTTTATTAGAACAAGTTTAAGTTTTTGGAGGCAATTAGAAGGATTTTTTTCACAAATACATATATGAAACAATTTTGATACTGGAAAAAGAAACAAAGGGTTCAAAGACCTGAATTTGTATTACAACCTACCTTACCCACATCTCAAAAAAACAATATTAATAGAAGAAAACAGGGATTGGAATCACGATCTGAAACTTTTCACGTATCGTTTTCTGTGTAAAAGTAAAGAAAATTTAAAAATCATAAATTCAGGCTAAAGTTTTTAAAATAAAAAAAAAACGCTTCTGGTTCATTTAATTGTAATAACAATCTTCATTCAGTTTTTCTAGTATACTAGTGAGTAAAAAAGTTAACTGAACTGGAGAAAAATAAGGGTATTTTGTTAGGCTTAACATATTATTTTTGAAAATTTCCACAGAATAGGCGTAAATTGTTTAGAATTATTTAAGTGTGTCTATAACTTAGTTTAGTATTAGTGTTTAGTAGTTTAATGCTAATGTGGGTGACAATGTTTGTAATTTTGTTCTAAAGTTTAAATAAAGGGCCACAACACACAAATAAGATTTTGGAGATGATGTCAAGTGCAAGTAAGGTATGAACACATGAAATCTTATTAGTCCGTAATGATTTAACATAAATACCATAATGATGATGACCTAAATAAATCAACAAATACAAAATATCAACACATCGATGGAATGATAAAATTACGTCCTGCAATTTTGAATAGTTTTCAAAAAATCTACATGCATACAGTGTTAAATACGTGTAGATTACTAATTCACGAGTTTAGATATATAATATGTTGCACATCTGATAGGTACAGAAATTACTAGGAGCAACTTTGAGATGACGTCCGAAGTTTAACTAAAGTACTATATTAATATATAGTATAATAAAGTGCTTTATATTCAACCTAAAATCGACATAACCAATATTTTTAAAATGTTAGTTTACGCGCGGCATGTAAAAATGTCATATAGGTACATATCCAAGCCGTGGTCTTATCAACATCCTCGCTTCTTTAAGACTATAGTTGAAACCGTGAAAGCTGTTCCACTTGATTCCTGAGAAAGGGCGATGAGTTCTTGCTTCATCGAGATCACGTTGATATTTGCAAGTCACGCAACCAGCATGGCAATCTACGTACCACCAGCCAGCTTCTGCAAGTACATGATTATCACAAACTAGCCCTACAAAAATAAAGCTGAAATTCACCGAAATAGGCTGCACACGTTTCCGAGTGCTCATTATCGGCGGTACTAAAATTCGCATTCTGATGTGGATAAAAAGAGTTTCCAGCATCCCCTGTATACTTTCCCAAAGTTTTCACACGATACATTTCAAATTCGTTTCCTATCTGAAAATCGTCATACAGCGCATAAACCTTTTTCAAATCCCAGTCGACAAGTTCGAACAACAACTCGGTTCGTTTACTATCTAAACGATAAAAACAAAATGAATGCAGGATTTTTTTGACAAAATAAAACTTACTTGTCAGTTCGTAGAGATGATCTAAACCTAGCCAATATTCTCCCGAAAGATTACCAAAACCTTGCTTATAATCGGTCCAGTTAAGGTAAAAATTTTGTGACCCATCAAATCGATTAACGACATAGGTCCACCCTCCTTCTCGAGTTGACAAGTCGCACCAAACTAGAAAACTTTGCAAGGAAAGCATAGGTTGTATGCGAAAAATGCCGGAAGTGTTATATCCCCTCTTCTGAACTTCTCTACAGTCCCTTGGTACAGATTTACAGTCTTGAATTTCTGTAAGAATCTTCTCCTGAGTTTTCGCCAGTTGGTTTTTAACTTCGTTCAAGTCCTGTAATTGGGAGATCTCGGTTTTGGCCTCTGTAAACTGAGCTTGCATATTTGACTGTATTTTTTTCGATAAGGTTTTCGTTGTTTAAAAGCAGAGCCTTTATTTCGTCAACCATTCCGTTGGTTTTAGTCAGTTTTTGCGTGAAATTAGAAACAACTGCTATTTGTGTTTCTCCCAGTTCTCCCATTTGCTGAATAATTTTCTTGCTTGTTTCCGCAAGTTGCTCTTTGGCGGTCTGTTCTTGTGCGTTTATATTGATTACTTTGTTATTAATTTCGTTGAAAGCGCCAGAGGTGTTAAGAATGGCTTCTACTTCTTTAATCTGAATTCTAATTTCCGACTGCATCTCTGAAGTAAGTTGCTCATGTTTAGAAATAGAGAGCTTTGTCAATTCGCTTGAAACGTTTATTTTAGCAAGTACTTCATTTTTCGCTTCAGTTATTTGCAATCTAAAATTTTCTTCTGTTTCTGCCACAATTTCTTGTTTCGTTTTTTTCAACTGATTTTCCAGATTGGTAAAATGAGTTTGCACGTGTGATTCTATTCCCGCGATGCGTTTTTCGCTTTCGGAAAGAATTAGCTTCGTTGATTCTCTTTGGTTGCTCATTTCATCAAGTACTTCATTTTTTGTTTCAGTGAGTTTCTTTTCGATGATAGAACAAAGCGAAAATCCCGATTCTTTTACGGCGTTCATCTGGATCGTCATTTCATTCTTTGCCTCTGTTAATTGGCGTTTAACATTTTCTTTCGTTTCTGACACAATTTCGGTTTTTGTTTGGGATAATTGCTCTTTTAGGCCTGCGTCGTAAATACTGATTTTGTTTTCTACAACGTTTTCGACTACTTCGATAATTTCCCGCTTTATGTTTTGCAGGTTACTTACCGATTCTTTTAATGCGTCAAGTATAGTGCGCATTTCTAACGGTAATTCCACTCGTACAAAGAAAGGGTTGTTTACGATGGCGTCAAATTTAGGTGGGCTTTTGCTAGTGGAAACCACAGAAAACTGCCAAACAATAAGATAGTAAATACTAACAAAAACTGCTTATTTAATTAAATATGTGTGATGTCTTTTGGGACTATAAAGTAATTTTGAATGAATTTCAAACGAGTACTTACGTCGTCAGTGTCACTAGGGTTCAGGAACACATTTCCAAACAACGACAGTAATAAGAGTACAATTTTTGAAACCATTTTCTGCATCAATAGTTTTGATGTACTACGAAAGTTTTAATCGTGGGTTGTACTTTATAACCTCTTTCTTGATATTCGTGATCATTGACCATTGACCAAATGTGTGATAAATGAAAAAGTTATCTAAAAATTATGTGCAATCATCATCCAAACAAACAACGAGTACATGCTTATAGAAATTTAACTGGTAGAGTTGTTGTATTTTGACGTCGATTCTTTTATTTACTTTAGAATGTCAAAAAACTTGAGCTCATTAGACGTTAAGTTCTTTTTTGGGGAACAATTCTTGAAGTGATTATTCATTGTTATAAACTTTTATTTATCATTATTTTATTATTTTTATGCATGCATATTTACTTTGACTTGCAATGTCATAAACGGAGGCTTTGATTAATATAGGTAAGCTTGTCTTACGTGGACTGATAAGTCTTTTATAAAAAAACTTATGTATTATACGATACTTCGTAAGCTTAATAGAATTTAGAAACGTTTTTTTAATTAGTTTCCCTTTGGCATACATTTCATATTTTCGAATAGATTTTACAAAATTCTGTTGTAAAATTTTAACTAAAACGCCAATCAAAATTTTGCTTATCAATCTTTCAAAAAACTTGATGAAGTAATTTCAGAATTGTGCTAAAATATATAAAATAGTGTAGGTCTACATTTATGGTTTATTGGAACGTTCATACTTTATAAATTTGCTGCTTAAGTAAATTATTTTATTGATTAAATCAAAAAGGGCTTGCACCATTACCTAAAATTCTGAGAATACGTTACTGTTGTTATTAGCACTACATCCACACAGTAATTTCAGGCTATTTTTTCTTTGTTAGCAAACTATTAATAGTATTTTCTGAAGACATAACTTTGGATGTTAGTTTGATCTTGTTTAATTCGTCTTTGAGCCAAAAATTAAGTGCAATGGATGTGTATGTTCCATTAGTGTTAGAAATTTGCGACTGATTGGTTGTTTTTATATGAATGTGTGGGTTTATCAAAATAGTACTCCTTTATCTAATTATCATTTATTGTGTATATAAACCTTCCGAAAATGTTAATCAGACAAATAAGAACACTCTAAAAGAAAAAACGGAAGGCTTTTTTAGTAGAATATTTCCTCAAAAACAAGTAGATATTCCACCAATTTCTGATACTGCTCAAGTTGAAAATGAAGGACAATTGAAAAATTTTACAATTGAGGGCTACAATGCAATAAATGACAACAGACACCCTTGGTATTTTTGTAAAAGTTCGACCGTCGATGAGAAGAAGATTAAATGCATGCTGGTGGTAATCATTTAATTTGTGCAGTTTGTGCATTTATTCTGTTTAAATTGACCTACAATAATCGTCATATTGGATAAAATAATTCAATTTGAGTCGTTCAGTGATTACTGAGTGAGGCAGCGCGAGTACATTCCTAGCTTGACGAGCTCCCAGGACATGTCACAATGCTGCCGATGGAATTTTGAGGAAGACCAGCTGATCGAAGTCTTCATCTCGGGCTTTTTGGATACAGCCTGAGTGTAGTTCGACATGGCTCGTTTGACGGGGTCGCGCACTATGACGAATGAATGAATCACTTTGTGCATTTATTCCGTTTAATTTGCCCTACAAAAATCATCACGCTGGATAAAATAATTCAGTTTGAGTTGGTCGTTGATTTCTGAGAATAATTTCTAATTGCACTTTGACATTTGGATTTTATATGGTTAATCCAAAGACGCGATCACCGAACTTCGGCAGTGCGACGGAATATTTCGCGACAAATCGGCTCGGGCGCGAATTTCAAAATACGATTTTTAAGACCTTTTTACTGTGAATAAGCCCGATGCAACGATTTGAAAAAAATACTAGCCGGTAGCCCTCTTCGACTTCCATAAAGGCATGACTCAATAATAGCTTTAAAGTGATCTGGGGAGATATTATAAAATAAAAACCAACAAAATTTTAGATATTGTACGTTTTAAAAGTGAATCAAAATTGAACCTAGCCGCCTAAATTCAAGCAATTTTTTAATATCTTCCAAAAGTGATCGTAACCTAGAGAAGTGTTATAAAAGGGTCCATGGAAAAGATCCAAAGATTTGGACGTCTAGTTAGCCTTACCGTATCACAGCAATGCAAGAACTCTTACCAGTGGACTTCTCACGAAGATTTTTAATGATGAGGCATGATTTCATCTCAACGAATACATAAACTCACGAAATATGAGAATTTGGAGTCATGAAAAGCCACATGAATTTATTGAAAAAAATTGGTGTGTGGACAGCAATTACTCAAAGACGGTTTTTACTCATTTTTATTTTTATTACACTAAATGCTGTTAGATATCGAAATGCAATTTTAGAACCCTTTGCTAACCAGTTACACGATGATGAATTGCAGAACGGATTCTTTCAACAAGATCTGGAGCTCTGATTCATTGTACAAGGGACAACTTAAATTTCTTAAAACACTTCTGTGATGACCGCATAATTACCCGAAATACAGAAACTCCTTGGCTACCTCGTTCCTGTGATTTGACAACTTGTGTTTTTTCTTGTGACCTCATCTTATAAACAATATTTCAAACGCCGGTTGCAAATCTGGAAGACTTACGGAAAATATTTGAACAAAAACGCCTGGAGATTAATAACAATCCCATTATGTTAGAACATGTTTTTAGAAATTTTGAGAGGAGGGTTTTACGATGCATTGACGCAGAGGGGCAACATTTTCAACATTTATTGTAATGTCAAACCAAAATCAATGGCAACTTGATGAACTTTTTAAATGAACACCCATTATATGTGTTATGAATATCGTTTAGATGGTCAAATGCTAACTAAACTCTGAAAATCTGACCTGATCTGACATGACCTGGGTCGCCATAACCAGTGTAACGGATTTTTATTTAATTTGGAATGGATTTGCATTCGAAGTGGTGGCGCATCTATCACGCGTAGTGTTGGTGCGAGCTACGGGAAAAAACGAGGAGAAAAAGAGAGATAAGAACAAGAGAGGAGATAGCGGGGCAGGAGCGAGTGAGGAGCTCGGCAGGAAGACAATCAAGTTCAGGGGCTTTTCAAGGAAGATTTTCGGGAAGAGACGGGACCTGAGAACCGAAGGAAGAGTCAGGAGCCTCCGCCGCCTACGCTGAGGAGAGAAGAGGTGCCCTTCCGCATATTTTAACAGTGATTGGCTTATCGTATGTAATATCTTTAATAATATCATTTGTCGTAAACGTAGTTTTATTGGGCTCGGGTTGAAACCCACTTCGTGAGGTAACAATAAAGTAGCATTTATTTGAAATCCGGTAAGTAGGTTACACCAGACAAGCCTCAGGTTACCGCTCTGAATATGAGGGAAGTACTGTATAATGTCATTATTCCCGTATACTTTTTGGCGGAATGGGACTATTTGGCGCGGCCGATTTGGCGCGGCCAACTTGGCGCGGCCGACTTGGTGCGAGCCATTTTGGCGCAAGGCCAACTTGGCGCAGGGACACTTTGGCGCAAGCAATCTTGGCGCGAGCCATCTTGGCGCGAGTACGTCGGTATATAATATAAAAAATATTTATTTTTTGTATCGTCGTTTGCACCCTGTTATTTATGCTAAGTGTAGGCAACCAAATACACAGTTTCATTCGCACAAATTCCAATAACTAAATGATCCACGGAGCAAGAAGTTCCACGTTTAGGAGTATGTTTATAATGGGGTGCAGGGCGCGAAGCGCCCGCGTGTCCATTAAAAAGTCGACATTACCCCTCCACGCATTGGAGACCCTAAAAAATTAGGTTATGCTAACAATGGGTACAATTTTTGTATAATTATATCCATTTTTCTTGGTGCGAGTTCATTCGCGCCAAGATGGTCCACGCCAAGATGGCTTGCGCCAAAGTGTCCCTGCGCCAAGTTGGCTTTGCGCCAAAATGTCTCGCGCCAAGTCGGCCGCGCCAAGTTGGCCGCGCCAAGTCGGCCGCGCCGAATTGTCCTAGACCGACTTTTTGGGGGTACTCCTAATTTTAGTTTTTCTAAGCCTGATTCATGTTCTTTGCTATTTTCTATTTGTCTTTACAATCATCTGGAAAGAAATTTCAGTCATGTTTTTTGTTTATTAAACTTATTTTTGTGGCTTAAAATTTTTGCGAAATAACTTATCTTCCTAAACTAATTTACTCTTACTTAATTTTATTTTTTTTAATTGAAATAAATATTGTGTTACTACAAATCTATGAAAGGAAGCCGATTTCTTGGATTTACAGTTATTCTAAATGGGATCGCATCGTCGATAACTCTAATTTGATGTTTATTGCATAAGTTTTTTGCTTACACTACAGCCTCTTGACAGCGTCGACATAATATTTCTTATTTCCGTCCAAAACCCATTCCGCTCTTTTAATAAGGAAGCCTTTGTCTGGAAACGGAACCACGGTACTTGGTAAGTAATCAAGGGAAGACTGAAACTGTAAATAAAAAACACGCTTCAACTTCCTTAAGTGCAACTAAAACAGAAAGCTGAAAAAACAAACAAAAAGCAGAAACACTAAAAGAACAAAAAATTCGTACAGGAACTAGAAGTTGACAGTCAGATTGACGGCCCATCGTAAACAGGAGAGAGAACATAATTTAGAAACATGAAGCTCTAAAACGAAACAACGTGAGAATCGAGCAATTCATCACACGTAGTTATGACAGCAACAGGAAAATTCTTCTTCTCCCGGTCCCAAAAAAATTGCCTCCTTGACCCTCCTCCGGCCGTCCCCCAACCCCCAATTAACCCATCCACGTCTCGTCTCCCAATTAAATCAGCTTAATAAAAACCTTCCAGTGAGTCATAGCGTCCATTGTAAACACGGCCGCATGAATGGGAAAATCGATAGCACATCCCGGAAAAGCGACGCAGAGGGCGCTCTTTCCCCACGTCGGCACAGCAATCGACCACGCCAGTTTTCCTCCAGCCTCTCCAGAACCAGGTACTAAACCAAAGGCAAAGATCAAGCTTGAACTTGCAGCCTTGGGATGAATTGTCGCAATTCGGTGATTAAGTCTGCTCTTGATTAGTTGTAGGTGTGGGCTACCACTAGTTTCCTGCTCTAGGTCTTCATGGTCGTGTCGTGAACGCGAAAATGGTCTATTTGCCCCTTATAGTGTCCATCTCGCTGGTGGCCTTCGGCTACTCGCAAGACATCGAGCTGCAAACGCCCACCTACACTTCCAAAGGTGAGTCGCAATCCGCCAGAAACGGCGAAAATCTTGCGTGCAACGCGGGCCGAAAACCCCGTTAGTGGTGAATATTTAGCGCTGCCGTGTCGGGCGACAATCAACTTTCAATTTTCGCGATCGCACTTCGAAGAGCCGACGAGATGGCCCAAAATTCGCAAAAGTGGAGAAAATGTTGCGTGCAACGCCGGTAAAAGGGGTCTAATTGATAAATATTTAATCGCGGCGTGGCGTGCGACAATTCGAGTTTCAATTTTCACGAAAACGGTTCTCCGACAACCGGCTTTGAAAAATGACGAGTTGGGTGATGAGTTGAGCGAGATCGATACTCGCGTTGCTACTTGTTGTTTTTATTTATAAATCTGTACCACTTCGGCAAAATTATGCAAAGTGGGGTGCCGCAAGGAGGTGTCCTCAGACCGGTGCTGTTGCCGGTTTTATTATATCCGCAGAGTTTAAGGCAAAACGTAAAGTTTGTACATCCATATATATTCATTCATGTAAGGCTCCCAATTTAACTTTTTTATTCATAAAGTTTAGCTGTTGAAATTCAAAACATCTGTGTGTTATTTAAGGAAGAATATGTGGGGTTGATATATATGCCGGCTGTCAGCAACTGTTTCAAAAACGTCTTTTCGTTAGAATTTTTGAGCTAAATTGCTCTTACATCAGATGATTCAACCTCATTAATTTTAGTCACATGACAAACCTTGTAAAATAACCTCACTTTTATTGATGTTGTCTCTAAATTTAACGTAATTTATTAAAAAAAGAACTGACAATGTTAAAGACATACATATAACTTTGTAAATATTTAGGCTAGAAGTTTGCAAAATGAATCTTTAAAAACATTTACATAGAGCCTTTCTGAGCAAATATATCTACAGGTAATAGTATTTTTTTCACAATAAATTTTACGAAATAATTGCTTAAAATAATCCTATTAACTTTTTAGGGCAATAAGATGCTCCAAACCAAAGTTTTTTTTTTGGAAAAGATGAATAATTAAATTAAGACTATACTTAGTGTTTTACAATCACAGCAATCTTAAAATACACTCAAATTTTCAAACTACTTGATTTGGTAATTTTTGACATTATTCACCTAACAGACAGTTCGAAACCGAAAACTTGCAACGTCAGCAACAAATGAAATTCGATATTCTTCTTAAAGATCCTAGATTTTAAAGCCATAGGTACGGAAGCGAGTCATTCAGCACATTTCAGCTTGTTTTGAAATGACGTCAGCAATTCTTTTGAAGAGATGAATACTTCAATTTAGGTTAATATTCTGCAATCATCAGAATAACAACCTTTATGTATAATTAAATTTCGATGGTATTATTAGATTTATTCCAGACGTACCAACTTCATGAAATTTACAAAATCAGTGCAAACTTAATGACTTTTTCTATTGAGCACACGATATGAAAATGTTAACAAAATATACAGTCGCGGCCAAAAAATTTTGGACTACAGTCTCGTTCCACCTTCACAAATGTAAAACACCTTTAAGTATTGTAAGAAATCTTATTGTTTTAGGTTTGTCATTTTTGACATTGCGGGCATGTTGAATGTAATGTTATAAATCTTTTAAAGCTCAAACGTCAAAATGACAATAAGGTGTAGACATAAACGTCATCAATTCTCTGAACGAAATGAATAGTTACGTTTAAATTAAATTAGTGTTTGAAATTGATTTTTGTAATCTGGCACCAACATATTTCCATCAAAATATAAAGTCTGATATTCTTCTTAAATTCCTAGTCCAGTAATGACAAAAGGGCCTTGTTTTATAGTAGATGCATGGTGTATTTTTTTTTAAGCTTCTTCCATTACTGTTTACCTTATGCTAGTTTCCTTCCTGACATTCATGCATTTTTACTTTCTTCTTAAGTTTTAGAGTTTCTCGGAGCCTTTTTCTTGTGTTTCTATTTGATTCCTCTTCTATATTTATTACATTCATGTTTCCATCTTAGTTGATTCTTCTTCGTGATTTCCGGTAGTGACTAAGCTTCCAGTTCATCTCTCAATTCTTGTAATTCTTTAAATTTTTAGTATAAATTTCTCTTTCAGTTGCTATAGTTTGCTCTTTAATTGATACATAGAGTCTTATTAGTCTTTTTGGTTATTTCTAAAATTCTTTTTAAATATTGAATAAAATGATTTCGGTACTTTTCTTATTTTTCGTTAGTCTGTTAGCATTTACAAATGTTATTCTTCTACTAAGTAATATAATAATAATATAACTTATTATTATTATACTACTTTTCTCTCTTTCTTGATTGATATTACTTATAAGTCCGACTTGATTGACATTTCTTCAAAACATTTTCCCGACTTCAAACTTATTACTAGTGCAATTCTTACTTTCCTTTGGCCAATGCTTCATTCAAAAACTGCGTTCACCAATTTCAGATGACTGTAGTTTTCAATCCCTAACACATACTTTACTTCACACAGTTTGCGTCATTTATTAAAACTATGAATAGCATCGGACTTAAACTCCACCTAATTTTAATCCTTCCAAAAATAATTTGATGATTTCTCCATCTCGAATTTTTTACGCCTTTGTACGTACCACTTTAAAATGAATTTCTTACCTCAGTAAAGTCTTACAAGCTTCAACCTGAAAATCAAATATATGCCTGTCACAGAATTTTGAATTTTGTTCCATCTTTGTATTTTTTTCAACATTTTGGAGATATCACGTTTACTAGCTTTATAGTGTTTTTATTATTTTAATGAAATAATAATAATTCTCTGTTTATTTTTTCCCTTATTTTAGTTTGAGTTGGCATTACTTCCACTGGCAATCTCTTAAATTGTCCCATGTTTCTCTTTTACCTTTGACTTGTATTCTTCGATTTATTTCTTTTTGTGTCTGTCTGTTACCAAATGATCATTTTTACTTCTCGAGCATAACTTAAGGAAGTATTGTAACAAGGTCCATATGGCGAACGACTACTTTTACGTTTCCTCGACGTTTCATGACCCCTAGAATATGAAACAATAGGTCTTCTGTTTCCATCTGTCGTCTGTTTTCTGTCTACCAGATCGATTATTGTCGAATTTTATATGTAGTTTAGGAATATCACGTAGATGGTAAAACACTAACAAAATTATTTGTCTAATCAACCCTACCAACAAAAAAAAACTCCTGTACTGTACTTGCGGTTTGTACATCCGTTTTGAATTTTTCCCTAAGCATTCAAATATTTCGAAAAAAATCCAAACTACATAACAACGTTTTATACATACACCCCATGGCGTGGTGATGAGCGTTATGCTCTGTTCGTCTTGAGTACTTTTTTTTGTTACAAAGTGACTAGTATTTCTATATTTTTAACTTAGGGATTACACAAAAAGTGACGTTTTATAAGTTTTATAATTTTTCGAAGCAACTGAACCTGTTGGTCTGTATTTCAAAGACGAGAAAAGTTCTCTCTAAATAATCTCAGACCAATTTTTTCATTGGTAAATAAATCGGAATACGATCTTTCTTAATTTTGAAATAAGCAAAAGAGGTCAAAATTTTTGAAATTCTACCAACTGAATGAATGAATTGGATCAAATTGGCTTTGGATTTTATAAATTTTGCAACGTCAATCATAACCTAACTTTCCTAAGCTTTTTCCAGTGTGTTTGCTGCCTAAAATAATTTTGTTAGCTATGTCAAAAAAGCGGCAAATTCTTATTGCAAGAACAGATAGATTTTGTAAAACCCACTTACATTTTTCCTTGGTTTCTCTCGACACTTTATAAATGTACATATATCCATGTACAGGTTGGGAAAATGGAAAAATCTTGCTCTCATTTTTACTTCCTGAGAGTAAGCGAAAGAAATTTTAATAGGATCCAAGTTTTCTCGACGTTTCGTGACCCCTGGAGCGCGAAAAAGTGGTGTCCCATTTCCGTCTGTCGTCTGTATTCTTTGCCGACCTTTATTAGACAGATAATCCACGAAAGTCCTGTATCAATTGTAATCAAATTTCGTATGTATATTAGGAATAACATGTAAGTGGTAAAAGTAATTTGATAATCGTTCCCACCAAGAATTTGTTGACGTCAGCTCAAAAGAGTCTGTATTAAAATTTTTAAAATGTTTTGAATAATATATTTCTATACTTGTAGTATACGAATCCGATTTAAGTTTTTCCCATAGACACTTAAATTTTCGCAAAAAAAAAACAAAAAATGTTAACAATATCATCAGAAAACTTTATAATGGAAATATTCAGTTGAAACCTTTACTCTACTTCATACATATCTTTATTTTAACATATCAGGATAGGCGTTATCATAAAAAAATTAAATTCGCAAAATGAAATTTTATCGGTTTTGGAAACATTTGGATACATTGTATTGTACTTCAGGAGCTAGGGAAGTTCTGTCAGAATAAACTTCGACTAATTTTTTGGAACTAGATATCAATGTTTAAATGCGAAATTTTTTTCAAAAAAAATATCTAAGAACTACCAAAACTGTAAAAATTAATTAATTATTTCCTTATTATTGTACTAAATATCTGATCTAAATATATAAAAATATAGAAACTGCATTAAAAAAAAGAAAACTTAACTTTGGTGTCAACGTTGTAAAAACCCCTCTGAATAACCACAAGTAATTGTAGGTTGTAGACCTAGAAAAAATCTTGCGTGTAGCCCCAGGTAAAAGTCATTCATATTTAAAACACACTTAATCATCCTCACGAACTCGCCCCCCTAAAAATTCAAAAAGCCAGGGGTAGGTGATGACTGATCATTGATGAATGATGAGTCAAGCTAGGTCGATACCCTGTTGCTACTTGTTGTTTTTATTTATAAATCTCTACCACTGCAATAAAATTATGCAAAGTGAGGTGCCGCAAGGAGGTCTCCTCGGGCCGGTGCTGTTGCTGGTTTTATTATATCTGCAGCGTTTAGGAAAAGCGTAAACTCCGTACATAAAGTTCATAATAAAGTGGCTCGAATCGATTAGAAGACGTTCGTATGCGTTTTA